TATATGTCAAGAAACACTTCCTTGTAGTCGGATGGATATATATTTATTTACATGTTTTGATTTCTGTACGCAGGTATCATTGAACTCCGCAATGTGTCAACAATGACGAGCTTCATGGTCACCTTTGTCACGATCTGAACTACGAGATGCTGGTGATCGAGAGTCTGGATGACGACACGGAGACCCGCAGGCTGTCACCTGTCGCACTCCTGGCTGATGGGTACATCGACCTGCTGAACGGACCTCAGGTTTGTTTGTTTGTTTGTTTATTGTTTATTTGACCAGAGAAACATATCGCCCATGAAGGGCGGTTTTCAATGCACCCTGGGGGGCAATCCCCAAACAACAATAAAACTAGAGGTCGGAGATCTCATATCTTCGTCAGAGGTACATCGTTCTAGAGAAATTAACATGCGTATTCTTCACTCTTTTTAATAATCAATTTGGTCTAAAGACCAAAAGAATCTCTGTACTATTTTTATGGTACAGAACACCCTGAAACGGTTTGTCGCAGATTATACAGATGCGTCGTCACCCGTGTTAGCCCCCCCCCACGTTATTTGAGTTTGGACTGTTACTGGAAAAAAAAACGTTCAAGAAATTCTTACTGTGTTGAAAGTGTCACGACAGCGCCGCAAAATATAATAAGAGAAGATGTTATAAAGGAAAGAATCAGAACAGGGTGACTACTGCTGTTTTGTTAATTTGTCTTTATGACAAATAGAAGACTTGTTTCTTGTGTTCTTTGTGTCCTAACATTTGTACTTCTACAGTTAGTATATTCCAAATCTAGGCACCTCGTTTTTCGGCCCTTCGTGTTTTTATTGCGCGCTTGCCTTAAATTTAAGGTAATTAAATTTAAGGTCTCCAGTGGACGTCATCCATAGCAATTACTTGGTGTGGCCGTAGAAATTAACCTGACATATGTCCAACATATCCTCCCCCTGCTGAAGTTATAGTACAATCCCTCAATGTAACGTCATTTGATCCCATCCCATAATGGGGTTCCCCGCCTATATCCAGCTGTCGGCTGTCTCCAAGCAGATGTAGGTGGGGGACGTACTTCTAAACACAAAAGGTCCTATTACGGGGACATAACGACCTCCACGACTCTCATCTTTGAACTCAATCTTGGAGACCACGACAGTAATATGCCTATCAAATTTCATTAACTTCCATCCACACATACAAAAGTTATCCTGCTCACAAGAAAAATTAACAAAATGCCCCCTGTAGTCACAACAAAACCCCCACGAAGCTCAGTAACGAACTTAACCTTGGTCCTACCAATAGTAAGCACCACACCAAGAATTATAATCAACATTTTACAAATACTTGAGTTATCTTGCTAACAAGCCACAAACACAAAAGGTGCACTAACGTGACGCACGGACCCCCCACGAAGCCGAAACTTGTACTTGACTTTGGCCTCAACAGCGGTAATCTGCCTGCCAAAAATCATGGACGTCGAATCATGCCTTCCAGAGTTATATTGCAAAATCCGCAGTTCCCCAAACTCCGGCGAGACAATTTCATAGTCCTTCTGACGAAGACAATCAACAGATTTGTGTGTTTGATTGTACATTTCCTGTTCTATGATCTTCTATCTCTGATGCGTGAAAGTTTAGGTGAGGATAACATTAGAATATTTTGCTCTTTGAATTCCTTCCCCAAAAAGACAGAAGGGTGATCAGTCTAGAGAAAAGACAACCCTTTATGGCACAGAAGCCGTTGACGTGTGACGTTTTTGCATTACATAATGCCTCATCATGGTTTAATCTCCTCCAGAATCCTCTGGGGTCTAAATTTGCCAGAGGAGTCAGGAAGCCAAAGTACTTGCAGCTGGCCTGCTATATTCATTTTGGACCCATGTTTGATAATTGTTGTGGTCAAGTGCAGTCATTCATATCTTTTGAAATTTCATTTTTCCAATTTGGCCTATTTTCCTGAATCATGAATCCCCATGTCCGTCGTATTGTTGCCTATGTAAGAAATTTAAAGACCTTGACCACCCCTATGGAATGGTAGCGTCCGAAAGCGTCACATGCCCTTCGGAAATTCAAAATTTGCATAAAACCAGCAGCATCCGTTCGCCAGCGGCTGTGCGCTAAACTTCCATTCCAGGACTTTAAACTTCATTTCATCGGCTTTGAGAATCTCCCGTAGGTTCAGAGAAAAAGTAAGGAAGCGTTTTGTCTCATCCTGGGTTGTGTTGTGTGGTGGGATCGAGACAAAGCGGGAGATTTTATCGTGTAGTTGGATGCAGGCGCAGATCGGTGTGCGGTAGGCTGCCTGAAAGTCGATACACACGTCGGTCAGCCGGCTGTACATGAACGCTGTGGTACCGCTGAATATGGGTGTCTAGTCATTGTTGTCGTTGGAGCTAATCCCTGTGTTTGATACTGAAGAAGGAAGAAGTACCTGGAAGCATACAGAGGGAGTGATTTTGTGAAAAGGTGAGTGTGAATAGATATAAATCGTGCTTTTCGCACGCGAATTTTGCGTCTGGGGCAACTCGCCGCCATGTTTCTGTCCCAAGCGGTCGATCGTTCTGGTGAATGCAGCATTTGTTTCTTTTCTGTCACACATTTTGAGACAGACGGACTTGCATTGTTGACAATATATATGGTACTAGACTAGTTGGCTGTTCGGTCGATTGAAGTCCTTACTGTTCCTCGACTTCACCAGAGATGTTCTAAATCTAAAATCTCCTGTTGTCGAAAATGCCCCCCTCCCAACTAGGCCAGAGATGTGGGAACCCTCTAAGGCGATGTAGTTAAAAATGTCTGAGTTTGGGAGGGGTTACGAGCCGATTTACTGTACTGTACATTCAGTTATGTGTCTGAAATCTCTATCTCTACCAGCCCACGTTCATGCCGCAGGTATGAATCATTACCTGTAGATATCAGCAGATCACTGCAAATTCCTCCACTGATTACACATACACAAGTGGGCACCGCAGACACCGGGGATAACCAGGGTGTGGTTGTGTGTTTGTAACCAGTTCGGTGTTTATTCTTTCGATGGACTTTGCAACTCTCTACAGAGATACCCTATCTGTTGTCTTACTTTACTATGTATACAGCCAGAGACGAATCAGACCCAATTGTGTGAGGTACCAAGGGATGACCTCACTTCCTGCAGGAGCATCTGTAAGCCCACCTGCTGAACTCACTCAAATGTAAACAAGATGTGAACATATATTTTTGTCATCAGTCATGTCAGTGGGAAATTGTCTCTCCAGGACTGAATAGTCCATAAATACTAGACTGTGGTAATTATGTATCATTAACTTAGTGAGATAATTGCTAAGCCAATTGTATGCCAACATGTTGGTATGACAAAGTGACCAAGTTTCAAATTTAAAGGTCTTGACAGACCAGACTACTAGCTGCAATGTTGCATCAGACGTTGTTGTGCTTTGTGTGCCATGTAGCCTGAAAGGTAGGTATGTTTAATAATGTTACAATATAGTTGATAAAGAAACAAGTGAGTTGCATTTACACAGCCACTGACCAAGCATCCCTGGAAACGCACATGATATAATGTGTTATTTGTGTACAACTTGGTGATTAATACATTAAAATGATAATTAGTAGTTCATTCCTCTAGAAATGACAAATTCTTAATGGTACATTACCTGATCAGTCATGACACCTGTGTCATCACCCTTTAAAAGGTTGTATTTTACATCCTCATTTTATACACAGGCCTATCAGTGGTCAGCGTGTTCGGCAAAACAAAATGTTTTGTTTTGGTTTTGACTATGAATGTTAGCAGACAGCATGTATCTGTAGTTTCACCTCAAGGCATTCATGAGCAGTGTTGGCTGAGCTGAAGATACAGTGGTTAGGCAAACATTTGAACTGAAGCAGGGCCAGTACAGCGTGTAACAGATGGGTGAATGTTTTAGAAGTAAATACCCCAGGCATGGCTGCATTTCTGTGGTCTGAAATTTCACACCCTTAAAATTTAACTTCTAGATATTGCTGGGAATTGAGAAGTAACAGTATACAGGATTAGTAACAACTAACAGTTTAACAATATTCCATCAGGAACACAGCATGTTCTCCATGTATAAAATGTATGTGACTGAGTGATACACAGTTTATTAGTGATGTTGTGACAGTTACAAATATGCTATTTTGTGTCATGCTTGTGAATGTGTTTCAACCTTCTAATGTGTGCTTGGCCCATCCAAAGACTAATATGATATCCATACTTATCCTGGCAACTTACCCAGGGTTTATGTGGTTGCATTTTGAAGTCTCTATTTGTTAGCAGCTTATCAGTAATATATGGAGCCTTCATAAAAACCAGAGTGCTAGTACTACATTGTTATGCCAGGAGTGCAACATATATTATTAAGATATTAAAGATAAATGCTGTCAACCTTGTCATTGCTGCAAAATGCATGAAATATTTCCATATCACCTCAATTTGTGACTAAAACTTGTACAAGGCTAGAGAGGGACTTATGTCATTCAACATACTGGTTTAACAAATTTCATCACTAAAATTGATGTCAAAAAAGGCAGGGGAATTTTTATCTCTTCTGTAGGTATGCATATGTGGCTGCCCTTAGCCCACTGGGATTGCAGTTTCCACTTTGTAATTGAAAAAAGAAGGTGACTGTTATAAATGTTTCAATTACAAGCATGAGCACAGGGAGCCATAGTCGTAATTCATAGGTCAACTAGATCAAACAACAGGGGCCTTGATGGATTTTTTTCATTTCCTTTGAAAGTTTGACTGTCCAAGTTGGTATGAACCTACAAAAGACAGAGATGTAAAGCATATGTTAGGGAAATTCCAGAGCTTTGTGCTTGGTTCCCTACAGCTCTGATGGAGTGTGGTTCCTTCTGCTTCTGAGGGGGCAAGTTGTTTATTTTTGGAGCATTTGAACATAAACACTGTATGTCAGCTGATTGGTATATGCCACATGCTACAAAACATGAGCAGAGCAAACTTGTTATAACTTCACAAGCCAGGATGGTTATCTGGCATTTTTAGCCTGCTTCCATGAGTAATTGAGGCAGCCCTTGAGCCATGTGTCTTTTGGTTACTTACGTCTTCAGTTCATATCATATGAGTAAAGGATTCAATGTTTGAAAGGCAATAACGGCATGCATGTAGTTATATATTAACCAAAGTTATAACGGACCACGAAGTACATGACATAATCACATTAATGTTTTATATACTGTATACAATGTAGTTAGTAGTACACATAATTACATGTATGTGTAATGAAATAAGCACTGATATCATGATACATGTAAAAAAATGATGTTGAATTTTTATGAAGATCCCAAATTCATGCAGAACCTGGAAAATCATATCAATGTTAACCATGTTACCAGGGCTTGAAAATACATGTAATTTATACATAGAGTTCTTGCTGAAGCATGAAATAGCTTCAACGTATACTATCACTCAATATCACCATCCTGGCATGGCTCTGCAAATGAAGATTTAGGAAGAAAGGCTGATAGCTCCAATTATTGGACAGGCAGATTCAGACACAGACAGCAGTCTGAGTTTGGTACCATGGCTTCATGGTTTTTCTTCTTTTATTCAAGGCTCACTTGGCAGTTGTTTTTAGAGTCTAAAGGAGGAGACACAGTCTAGTGTATAATGTCTGCACATGATCTAGTTCTAGAAACAAGCAACTGCAAGTCAATATCGCACGGGATTCCAGTACATAAAAAGTTTTAAAGAACAAAAGTCTATTACTTTGTGGTCATTTCTGTCAGTGACAAGGTATTGACTCAGAATTATCAATAAACATGTAGATTAACGAGAGCTAAGCCACCTGAAAGATGCAGGAGAGCAGTACTAAGCTAATTACTATAACCAATTAGTGTTCTTACAATGCTCCAGTATCCTCTAGACAATAGGTTATTTGGGTTATTTTGCATGACCCAGTCTTAGGTCAAACAACCCATAGATAGATGATTCTCAGTGCAGTTTTTGATACAATATAATAGTAATACAATGAGCAGAGATCCTATTGTATGGATATGCTCTATATTTCTTCCTGTAGGACCTCTAGGAAGAAGGATATGACCACTTTATGTGCAATGTTGGTATCAACAGGAAAACTGTCTAGGCTGATTCAGAAGTTACATGGTTCTTAATTGGTGATGTTAGTGGCCAATATCCTCAATCTCCTACTGAGTCCTAGGAGTCCTAGAAGACACCATCAGGTTTAGGCCAGTGTTCTGTGTGAAATGAAATTTCTCGGGTAGTCAATGACAACTCAAGGTCAAAATGCAAATGAGTAGACAGTTTGCTAGTCTGTTCAAAGTTGTCCTATTGTGCAAAATAGACTCATGGTGATTAGAAATACAAGGAATGCTGTTTTGTTGTTTTAATTGTTCTAGTACAAGACAAAATAAACTGAGCAAGTCTGAGGCTAGGCTAGTTTTCCAACTAGTGATAACATTCAATTTCTCAGGCAGTTAATTTTGGCAGTTGTCCTCTCTTTTACTGACAAGATCATTTACAGGTAGCAGTATAACACCATTGGTAATGGGATGGGCACTATTGGAGTGAAGGTATTTGTATTATGTAAAAAAAAACCCAACCTGTTCATTTAATGTTCATCAACTTCATATTTTGTGCAGAACTAAAAAATGAAGCATTGAGTTTGATTTAATGGACTGTTAAATTTTAACTTTTGGACCAGTAAATAGATGATAAAAAGTTGTTATTGTCAGCCAGTGCCATAGAGCAATTTTCAGCAATAATTCATCATGTCTAGTTAGCCCTGCTTTACTGTCATCTAATATGCAAAACAGAAATGTATGATCATGGAGGCATTTTTCTACCTCCATGGTATGATAAAGCACACTTCTAACCATAACCAGCAGGTGTCAACTACCAGACAGTAAAGAGACAAAAGAAGGAGGGAGCAAACATGAGCATCATGGGGCAGGCACACACCACAGTGTTGACACTGTTGGGGATCCCACAAGACTGGTCAGCTGACTGGTGAAGAGACAACATAGATGTGTTATTGAACTACAGGAGCCACAGGGGCATGTGGTAACCTTGAATGGAAGGTCTGTTAGGACTAGTTTGATAAATCACATTGTTTCAAGGATGTTTGTGTAGTTATGAAGTACACTGTACCTTTGGTGTTTCCTCTGTGGTTCTCATTCAGTGATTGTACATTTATGTAGTAGAAGGCTCTAGCCAGCTGGGTACTCTCTCCTCTTGCAGCTGTACGCTAGTTTGGTAATACTAGTGGAGCAAATCTGACCAACTGTAACTGGACTGATATCCAGACTAGCAATGTCCCCCTCTCTTGTTTTAAAGATGGGCCTAATTCATCTTCATCATTCCTATACTTAAAGTGAAAAAAATAGGATTGCTTGATCCTATGCTTACAGTATAGGATGCCATGTATATATTCATTCATTCATACATGCATACATGTATATGTCAATATCAATGGCGTCAGTGAAGCTATCCTTAACTGAAAATTGTCTTTCAGCATTCAAATTACAATGGCATTGAAAAGGCAATAGTTCTGTAGTTTCTTCCCTCTGTATCCCTAGGTGTTGGCTAGTTAATGTGAAATGATTTTTGTTGTCTGCCGTTCACACTTCAGGTAGTGCTTTGTATGCAGTGAATGTCCTCTGTAGCATTTCATGCATATAACCCTAGGGTAACCTTGGCATGGTAACAGGGCTAATGGTATCAGCATTTGAAGGGGTGATACCATTTGAACAGGTGATTGACAATATACGAAGCCTTTTTTTTAGCTTACAAAAATGGCAAGTTGGTTATATATTATTTTCTACAATATCAAGGTACATGATCCTGAGTCGGTAGTACCAAGGAGGTTTGATTTTAAACCTCCTTGGTAGTACACTGTTGCTCGTGTTTGGCTAATGACGGATTGGACAGGGTGATAAAACTGTGTTGGAATACAGTGAGGTCATGGTAATGATACTGTTCCCTTCAGGCCACACAAACAGGGTTTATAGGTGATATCTGCACTTACTCAGTTACTCAGGCCTGTCTCATGCCAAAAAGGAAGTCTTGCTCCAGGTCCTCTTGATAGGTGGAGAAAAACATACCTAGCCTTGTCTGCTTGCAGGTAACAATTTGCTGTAAATAAGAATTTGAAGTGAGCCCTTCTGTTCAAACAAAGCACAGGAGCTTAAGTCTGTGTTACTTTAAGATTCCAGGGTTTCCTTGATTTCCCCGGTTGGCGGTTTCTCAAGTTCAACAGTATTAAGGTTCAAATCAGTATTTACAGGTGAGCCGGTTAAAGCTCTTCCTAACTGCTATACAAAGCCTTCCTTTCTTAGAATATGTATAAAAATTAAAAGTGTTTAACAAAGTTCTGCTGGTTAGTTTGAAGCTGAAGAAGTGTGTTAGACCTGAAGTTTAAGTTGATAGTTGTTTTCATATGCCTTTTCCCCTTACAGTTACAGTCACCTGGAAGGCTGTGTATTAGTCCCACAGCGTGAGTGGGTAGGATTCCAGACATATGAGTAATTCTGATGACATCATAGCATGAATAATTAAGCACACGCATTTGTCCCCCTCAATGTCAGCGCAGGTGTGTCACCATGGCACCACCTGAAGCCCTGTCAGCCAGGTTAACGATCTGCTGACGGGCTGTTGAGGGTCTGCCAACTCTTGCTGCCAGGACATGGTGGCCTTGGAATGTGTGGCAGTGAAAGGTGAAGGGTCACAGTAACACAACAGCAGAGGTTTACCTTTATTCTTTGTAGAGTAGACTCGATCCACCATGTAACCGGATCTGATCTGGGTTCAATTCTGTTTATTTGAAAGTATACATTATACTGCCAAGAATGATGAAATGGGTTTAACAATATATTAATCAAAACTGCCAAAGAAGATCACTCAACTGGTGTATGTAGACAGGTGGTCACTGCACTACAGACAGGATTCTGTGTCAATGCAAAAAAAAAATATCCAAGGACCACCAAATATTGGTCACATTGACCAGGTACAATGTACTCCTTATGTGGACATGATCAGTTCTAAAGGTTTGGCTGTACATGTATATTGTGTATATGATGTTATCATGCCTTTTGTAATTATGCATTGGAAATCAGGTATTATTCATGTACATTTGAATGAATCTTGGTGTTAGCATGTCAGCAGAACATACTAGCCTAACTAGGCCTGCCTGTGTTGTGCATAGCACTTTAGACGAATGTCTCATTTAATGTTGTATTTGCATATTAAAGGATGACACCCTGTCTATATTTTTCAAATATTGTGTCGGAAATTATATCACCTGAAATGAGCAATATTCCGAATGTTGACCAAACATGCAGCGAAAATCCAGGTTTCACACAGGCTGTACATTCTGGCAATGTGGTTGTGCCCTTTACTTTTTGACTTGAGCTCTCAATGTTATTTGACGTCCATACATGAATAATTTTGTTCTAACTATATGGCTATCACAGGTCTGAAAGATTCTAGCCAAACTCAGATTTTCTACCCTATATTATTCATTGCCCGTGAATGTTCTCTCTTTATTTCTGCCTCAGAATTCCTCTATTATATAACTAACAAACACAAAAAATGCAATGATTTATAATGTATCATAATGTTGGGACATCATATTATATCAAAATACAAGCCAAGCCCCTTCGGGTACACATTGCAGATGCAGACAGTGTGCCCTCCAGCTCTTTCATTACCAGCCCACTCGGTTGTGTCAGGGTAGCAGCAGAAATGTGATGTCTAATGCCACTGCACTTCAGGGAGCTGCAGTCTGACGGGTCAGTTGGCCTAATTAGTCTGATCCAGGAACTACAAACATTTTCCTGGAATCAAGGACAAGATCAGTTTCTTAAAACAGGAGAGAGATGTTTTGTTATTACACAGCTCAGCCTCAGCTTGATCAAATACCTTAAATGTCAACATTGCATAAGGTCTATACCATTGGGCACAGTACAGAGGGTAAGTGATAAAAGATTCTTGTAAGTTGTATAATCTTAAGAAATTTATTCCTTATTGCTCCCATGTGAAGTTAAAAATTGTAATAGCCCTAAAATGCTAAATAGAGGTTTGTATTTAGTGTCAGGACTCGAGCAATGCAGCATTTTTTCACAGCAGTGATAACTACTCATCCAAGTTATCAAGCTGTGTATTAATGTACATTTGTATATGAAATTATGTAAATATATGATAAATGATGCTTGATTATGTTTGAAGGGCATTGCTGAGAAAACAACAGCTATCAGATTAGGCATTAGTGTATTCAGCAAAGAAGCCACATAAGTAAAACTCCCTTGAGGCGTTGAGTCTGCCATGGAGGCTATCTCAGACATCATAGGAGCAAGGTACTCCAGTATAGATAACAGTAAATACTCCCATGTTGCCAAAGGCTACTGTTGCCCTTATGACCCTAGACTACTTCAGTCGGTATATTCTAAAATAGAGCTATAGTGAATGCTTTCAATTAGCCTGGTAAACAGACTGTTATGGCTCTCCATTATCTCAACAGCACTAGAATGTGCCCAGTTCAATAAGAGTAACTAAAGACCTGTGCAGAGACACTGGGGCAGAAACACTGGAAAGCCAGCCTTTAGAGAATGGTCACCAGGCTAGCCTTCAATAGACATTGCCACACTCCTTGAGATATGATCCAGTGATGCTATGTTGGTGGCCTGTGGCATTGCCTTGGGGTTATACCATACTTGGGCATCACACAACGCTCACCAGTTTTGCTACAGCGGAAGGGTCAGATTCTCAGAAACGATGTATTCCTTCAGTCTTATGAATTTTAAATGTCAGCTCCCTTTGTTGATGAAATGACTACACACGTGAGTACTTGTACTGCGCATAGTTCTTAGAGGCCACTGCATCCTGACCTTTCAGAATAGAATTATCAATATGCCAGTCCAGTGGGAGATCTTACCTGTGATATTCAACCTTTCCCTCGATTCAACAATTCCATGCTATCAGTAAGTGCATCTTTGAAAGTTAGCTGGTGTGCATGGATTTGAGTATGTCTGGCAAGTTACAATGTCGTATTGTTAATTAAGAGTTGATCATACTATATACAGTGCAAACCTACGTATAGACATTCAGTGTATTTTGTGAAGATTTCATAAAAGTTCATCCAACTACATGTACAGTACTGTACACTTGGTTCATTCATATCTACAGATAACATCTGCAATTTTGATGTTATCTTGCAGATGCCCAGCTAAGTAGAGGTATGTAGGGCACAGGTTAGAGCTGTGTGTCATCATTATGCACTGGTGAAGTATTTAGGGACATCGCCTTTACCATTTTAGCCATGGTTGCTCAATATGACTTTTCCATCATATACTAGCTGACAATACTTACTACATGTACAATGTTATAATGTATTTCTTTTCTACTTCAAATATATCTTGTATGATATTGGACACAACTTAGGTCGAGAAACAGGTTTCTTAACCATTGTCTTAAATAAGCATCCTGGTGGGAACAGCTTTAAAAACTGGTTAACAGAATGTTATTAACAGAAACTACTTTGCGTGTTGGTCTGGAAGTTTTTCTGCTGTACATGAATTCTGTGGTGCTGGAATCATCAGCCTACGGATGTGTGTTTCTTCAGCAACATAGAAAAAAAGCATGTCAATTGAAACCAATTTTGACCTTTCCCTCGTAAAGGCCAACATCAAACAACCAACATTTCTGGGTCAAGAACTGCCAAATGCATAAAGCACATGATTTCAGTGTTGCTGAGTTTTATTGGAGGGTATTACTATTAGAGCTCTGCCTTCTTGGAAAGGAGGCAATTCCAGAGAGGACTTGTCTTAGACATACTTGTTCAGATGTATGTCAAGGTTTGTGGCATCCATTTATGAAAGGTAAAGATGTGTTGAGGACCAGGGAAAATTGATGAAATTGTTTTCTGTACAATATAATACAAGCTGTGAATAGTACATGTAATAAGTATTCTTTTGTATTGTTTATCACAGAAAACCATTTGACCAGACAAAACAAAGATGAACCGTTTGCGGAAGAGTTTTCGGCGGTCAAAGGAGCCGCATGTTCCAGAGTGCAGCAAGCCTCACCAGTGGGAAGCAGACGAGAAGGCCGTACGGAGTGGAACCTGTAACTTCCATGTCAAGGTGGGCCTGGCTCCAGTCATCTTTGTCAAACTTTTAAATGTAGACAGTACAAGTATGAAGTTATTGTTTAAGTTCCAACATTTTTTTGAGTAAAATTTGATACTTTCCCAACAGTGTGATGTCTTTCCAAACATTTTTTTTTCAGGTCACATTTAGTCAGATTCTGTCACATTGTTTAGCAGGCAGTACTGTATGACTATGAGATTGAAACACATGGCACGTCTTGTTGGGTTGTCCCAGTTTATCTTGAGCACATCACCATACTGGCACTAATGAAGCCGCAAGCAGACATGTAAATGGGCATAGCATTAGAGTTGTTCAAGTAACCATGCGCAT